ACACGGCTCATCAGCCCGTTACCCTCCCTACTGTACCGTCCAGTTGTCTACCCTCCCAACCCAACTGTTCCCATCCAGTAATGCCTTTCAACCAAACATTCGACGAATTTCCTTTCCTCTATGCATCTGCCTCTCAGCCACAATATCCATCTAGTAGCTCATCTATTGGCGTGAACACTCACATAACCCCTGGCGGGTTTTCGGTTCCGGCCCAATACGACAGTCTCTTTGATGGTGCCTCCGCAGCCGGGAGTGAAGACGGTAAAATGCTGAGAGAACAGTTGGGTTGGGAAGGTAGACAACTGGACGGTACAGTAGTGTGCAGTCTGTTCAAAGATGTTCACACATCGTTCCCGTGCAGAGGCATGCGCGGCCAAAGACAAAGGGGAAAGACCGTTCGCCTGCGATGGGAAATGCGGGACACCTGACTGGTAAGGCTCTTACTCTCTTCTAAATCATGGGGAATGGATCAAAGTCTGATTGGCAACCGTACAGTGACAAGGAGTATCTATCCAAAAGACTCTTACAAGATCACTGTCAGCCTTCCGACTCTCGTAAAGCTGCATGCCCGTCATGGTAAGCATCATATGATAATATTTGGAATGTAAACTGACCATATTCGTTTGACAGCGGATGTATCTACCTCAAGAAGAATATTGCAAGACATAGAAAGCAACACTGCCTGACGGCCGAGAGGCCTAAAACCGCATAGTAAGGTCAATAAGATTCGAAATTATCTCAAGATTAAAGAAATGTAATACTGTAACTTCAAGGGCCTACCTCGTCTCATAATTGTATCTGCGTCTTTGTTATACCGCCTCATGACAGCCTGGTGCTCCCTATACATTCATATAACGACATAATTTGTACAAATATTACTACTCATATAGCATATAATATCACTCCGGTATCAAATCCGACTTACGACTGAATTGAGCGAGGCAAACACGCGCGCGTCTATAGGCTTCGGGACCTTCGACGGCTGTAAACTGACGTGTAGGTGCATATCAATCTGAAAACAAATAATATGAGATCTAATTCACCGGATCTCTCATAATCGCGATCCGACCGCTGCTGGTGAGCGGTGGCGAGTGGCTTCGACCCATTTTGGTCGTGGCCATATCCGTCTGTATAGAAGAATTCATGCCAGCTTCAGGGAATCAAAATCAATACTCTCCTCCATGGTCTTCCGTCGTTGGATGGAGCTGCACAAAACTTCATACATCTGCAGCTGGAATTTTTGAGGCTGATTCTGATTGCTAACGGCAAGGCCGAATCAGGTACGAGGTCGTGACATATATCTATCATGTTTATAAACCGATGCGCATATCTCTTGAGGAAGGCATCCCAGGATTTGCAAACGGTCCGCAAGGAATGGCGAATCCTTTCAGAATCCCAATACGAGGATTCCCAAGAGTAGTCGACAATACTGTCGATACCCGAGGTTTCTGCAGGATCGGGTTCGAAGAATAACGGTACC